GTGGGAAGAAGGGGCATATGGCGGGTGCGTGCCCGACCAAAGGGAAGAAGCTGCAGTCTCCCAAAATGGATGGGTCGGGGAAAGGGGCGGGCGGCGCCTCCAGCCGCGTGGCGCATCAGTCCCGACAGAACTAGCGGCGAGCGGAGGGCTTGGTCACTACCGTTCGGAACGCATCTGTCGATGCGTCGGTAGCAACCCAAGGTCAAAGGAGGATGTGATTGTGCGTGTCGGCGTCGGCACGGATGCGGTCTGGGTGCCACTGGATACCGGAGCCCGCTCGATCTGGGTGGACCGGGGATGGTTTGAGCAGCACGGCGGCACCTGGGAGAAGGAAAATTCGTCGGCATTCGCAGCCGATGGACACGAGATGGAAGTCTGCGGCCAAGGCACACTCAACTTCATGCTGTGGGGAGAGGAATTCACGGAACCTGTGAGAGTATCGTCTAAGCCTCCCTCCGGTGTACTGCTTGGCAGCAGATTCTGGCGACAGCATGGACTTATCCTGAACCTCGCTACTATGCGTGGAAAAATCAGGGTGGATGGACGCTCGGTAAAAGGGAGGGTGTCACACTGCCATGTAGCCCGCTCCGAACTGGAAATGGCCGGCGCCATTAGTGATGCGGACGTAGACGACACTATAAGGGAAATGGATCTTTCTCAGTTCCACGACGACGTGAACATGCAGGAACGGCTTCGGTTAGTGCTATGGGATTGCAGAGAGATTTTCAAAGGCCTTGGACGCATACGTGGAGTGACCCACTTGGTCAAGCTCACCACCGGCGCACAGCCAGTCAGCTGCCCAGTCCGGAGGCGGTCCCCCAAGGAAGAAGACCTGGAAAAGGACGCCATGGAGAAGCTCCTCCGCATGGGAGTAGTTGAGCATGCTCAGTCGCCGTGGGCGGCCTGCAATGTATTCGTACGTCAGAAAGATGGCTCGACGCGGATATCATCAGATTTTAGAGGACTCAATTCGGTAACCGTATCCGACTCATACCCTATGGAGGATGTGAGAGCGACGCTAGACTGGATGGGCACGAAGAGCATCTTCTCTACTTTCGACCTCAAGGACGGGTTTTTCCGAGTTGAGCTCGCGGAAGACTCTCGTGATTTCACGGCGATCCGCACAGTGATCGGATTACTCAGATATGTGAGGTTCCCGCAAGGTCTGAAGCACTCTCCAGCCGTCTTCCAGAGGATAGTCAACGCAATATTGGGGGGGGGGCGAAAGGGGCGCGACGTTTCGGCTTTTATGGACGATATAAGTCTAGGGACATGTAATGCAGAGGTGCATTTGGACTCTCTTCGATCGGTTCTGGACACGTTTCTCAAGGCTGGTGCAAGGCTGAAGCTGAGCAAGTGCAACTTTGGGGTTCAGAAGGTCGAGGTCCTGGGACACAAAATCTCACCAGGCGGCATGACTCCATCCGACATCCACGTGCAGGCGATAAAGGACCTGGCTATGCCCCAGAATGGAGAGGATCTGATGCGTTTCCTCGGGCTGCAAATTACTTTGCTCAGTTCGTGGACCACTTCGCGGAGCTTGCTCGACCACTGTATGCGGTACTGAAGGGCACCGGATTCAACAAACGTAAGAAACCAGGAAGGCGACTAATTATCCCGGATTGGGATAAAAGATGGGGTAAGGACCAGCAACGGGCGTGGATGGAAATCAAGAACGCCCTTAGCTCGCCCGAGCTCCTGGTATCGCCGCGCCGAGGAGCGCCCAAGCGCTTGTTGACCGATGCAAGTGGATACGGCACCGGAGGGGTGTTGCTACAGCAATGCCGCAGCGGGCTATGGCGACCGATCGCGGTCACGAGTCGGAAGCTCACAGACGCGGAGGTAAAATACACTGTGACGGAACGCGACTGTTTGGCAATAGTGCACGGACTTAATAAGTGGAGGTGTTACCTGCATGGGGAGAAGGATCTGGTTATTGAAACGGATCACTTGTCCCTTAAGTGGCTCATGAGCCTGAAGGACCCCCGTGGACGACTTGCACGCTGGATGGTTGACATTCAGGACTACGAATTTTGCGTGCGGTACGTACCTGGATTGAGGATGACTGTACCAGATGTGCTGAGCAGGGACTCGGTGGAGAAACCCTTGTGCCAACGATGTTTCAAGGAGATTGATGTTTCCGCCGCCGATGGAGGTCGTCGTAAGCATGTGAGGGTAGTTGGGGTTTCGAGAACGCTAGGGGAGGTCCTGGTACTGCAGAGCTAAGACAAGCTCAGCAGGAAAGAATGTGAGACACTGTCGCAGCGGATGGAGAAGGGGGGCAAGGTCGTTTCTTTTTGGACGAGGACGGCATCGTGTGCATGCAAGGTCAGGGAGGACCTTGTGCGGTGGTACCAGAATCGATGGTGCCTGCTGTCCTACAGTTCGCGCACGGCTCGCACCTCACTGGACACTACGGCATGAGTCGTACATGCGAGCGTATTCGGAGATCATATTGGTGGCCGGGTTGGCGCCGTGATGTACGCGCGAAGCTGGACGGGTGCGTACCGTGCGCAAGCGCCAAGGTCCCGCGACCGGCGAGGAACGCCCGCATGCACGTTTACCATCCGAAGCGGCGCTTTGCCTAAGTGGCTATAGACGTGCAGACTATTACTCCCAGGATTACTGCAGGAAATGTGAAGGTTTTGGTCGTCGTCGACACGTTTCCACGCTTCACCAAGGCAGTCCCAATCCCAGACGAGCGGGCGCAGACGGTAGCCAAAGCAATCCTGGACGGATGGATGTCTGGTTTTGGACCCATGGAGTGCTTGCTGTCGGACCGTGGCCCAAATTTTATTGGCAAGGTCGTGGAGCGTATGGCGGACCAGCTCGGGGTGAAGCGGGTAGTCACTTCCGCATTCCACCCGCAGGCAAACGGGTGCGTGAAGCGCTTCAACAGGACACTCGTGCAGGATCTGTCGTGCTTTGTGAGCACAGGTCAGGACGACTGGGAGCTCCACGTTTCGCTGGCATGTTTCAGGTACAATTCTGGTGTGAATCGGGCGACTGGAATGAGTCCATATCGTGAAATATTTGGGATAGAGCCATTCATAGCGTGGGGCCGCATGAGGCCAAACTTATTACGGGGGAGCCATATGACTTGCCCAGCCATTTGCCAGACTTGTATGCCGCGCTTCTCTCCCGAGAAATGCGCGAACGGGACGCCTCAGCGAGGCACTATGATAGGAAGGTCTTCGGTGTATATTTAAAGGAGGGAGATCGCATTCTCGTCTGGTCACCAGACTTGGTGAGTCTGGAAAAGAACAAGTTGGCTCGCCCGTGGTTGGGACTCTACGCTGTCAGAAGTATTTTGTCTAGCACTAGCTACCTTTTTGAGTCAGAAGTCGGCGGACGCCCTGCTCGAGCGCACGCAAATAGAATGCGACGGATATTCGCAAATTCACTGGAAACGGGTGATCCTCGGGAAGAGGTATTCCCCGACAGCCTCCGCCTGATCGGAAAGATCCGCGGAGAACGTCTAGGCCGTGACGAAAGCGGACGAGTTGTTAAATGTCTCAAGGTCAAGCTTGGGGGCCGCAGCGCCCCATGCTGGACAAAATCTGAAGACCTCCCACCTGCCGTGCTCAAGGTTTGCGATTCGCAGCAGGAGGGACGCGGATGTGTCCCGGACTCAGATGAGCTGGACGGGGACTGCAGCCCACCTATCGACCCGACGCGAGGCGGGAGCCAGCGCATGTTACACTCGAGACGCAGGCAAGGGGACCGTATTCCGAAATGCCAGAGTAGTGCAAAGAGAAGAGGAAAAGGAACGAATGTCAGGAATGCGCGTGTAAGCCTGGCATTTCGTGCTGCACAGAAAGGGAAGCGCACGCGTTGCGATTCGATCGCGGCGGGGAGAAGACAAGCGGGCGGGGTTTCGTTTGGACGACCTTCGAAGGGAAAGGCGCGCTGTCTCGGTTTGATAGGGGCTCGTAGGGCAGAGATAAGGGTAGAGGGGCAAAGGGATGGGGGGGGGGGGGGGGGGGGGGGTGGATGCTCGAGAGAGAGCCAAGTGGACTCTTGCGCTTCTCGCCGCCTGACCTCCCACCGGAGGGAGGTAAAAGGTTTTCTCGGAAGTGACTGTGGCTCGGGACGAGCCACAGCAGTACTGTACTGTGGGACACCGCCCTGTCTTTAAATAAAGTTAATCCATGGCGAACTGATATTAATGTAGGCCATTCTAATTTCGTACTATGCAATTTTCTCCACTAATTTTTCCCCCAGACTAAATCCTGTTACCGAGTGTAGCTTTTTTTGGGTCTTTGGGTCTCTTTTTATTTTGTCTACATATTAGTTTCCTTTGACATCACCTGTTTCTGCAGCTTCGAACATGCTCTGACAACGATCAAATCTTGGTTGCCACCCAAGGACTCTTGCTTTGGCCATGACCTGGTTTGACTACTTGCTTCCGCTGCACAGCTAACATTTTTCAAGAAGGCTAGCGTATGCAAATTACTTGATTTTGCGCCTACGTAAAATAAAAGCTGAGAGGTATTGAGGAACCAGCTCAGATATCTTTTCTGTCATCAAAAGGCCCAGCGTCTAATTGTAAAGATCATTGGCCAAGTGAGACATCCGACGGATACTCAAAAACCGATGACTCTCGCAACTTACGCGTTGTATGGGACGGGAGTGTAAATAGCACAGTGATAAGGTCAATATAGTCTGGTCTCGCATGGGGTAAACTTCCGTACAAGATGGTAGTTCATGTACCAGAGGAAAAGACTATTGGATTTCGCCTTGCCAATGGTTGCCGATAAATCTCAACAGAGAGAGCAGTTGAGGAGGTTTTATATGAGCTTCAGACCAGGCTCAGTGTTAAATATACTTAAAATGCTGCACATGTACTGTTGCTTCATGATCGACAGAGGCAAAGCGGTGGTGAGCTAGAACTCCCCCAGTCGGGTTGCAAAAGTGCTTGTTTCTGGTGGTTTCCAGTATTTCGATATGTACTAAAAACGACTATGAGGAGAAGAATGCTCTTGTACTGAAAGTGGCAGTTCAGTTGAGTTGGGGTGTACATCTCTACAACTGGACGTTCACAAAATTGTCTTTATAATATCTTCAAGATCCAATCTCAAAGTGCCAAGCCGTCTTCTTGAGGGCTTCGTTCTATCGAATCTGCGTTAACTACCAGGAACAGCTGCTTAAATGACGGCCACCCAAGGCAGTGCATCGACGGAAGTTCTCGAGGGAGACATTCTGCATACATGCGCCTCCTGCGGGACACACTTGGCTTCCGCCGAAGATGTGGTGAGCAAAGGTTTTCAGGGAAAACATGGACGCGCGTACCTGTTCAGTAATGTGTGCGTCTACTGCTACCTTCACTGTGCGTCTATGGTGCTGGGAGGGGTCTGAATACTAACACGTTTCTCCAACTTTTCTGCACAACTTTAATATCAATTTAGCGTGAATATTACTCTTGGAGAACCGGCTGAACGGGAGCTGATGACGGGAACCCATACCATTGTGGAGGTCCGCTGCGTTTCTTGTAAGCAGTACCACGGGTGGAAATACGTGAGTTTTACAGCACTATTACATAGTCTGGGATGCCGTTTGAATTGTCGGCAATCAGCAAGATTTGTTCACACTCTCTAACTTGCTCCTGTGCATCCCCTGTTTGGACACGTAAGATTTCGGCATCGCACCCAAATCAGAGCTACAAAGTGGATAAATTCTTGCTGGTACGTGTAACTGCGTTCACGGCATAGCGAAGGACCAGCGAGTATCGATTATTTGTTGACAAGAATGGCTTCTGCTATCTGTTTCGTAGGAATTGAAAAGCATGAAGAAGGTGGATCAAAGGAAAAGTGAAGCTTAAGACTCGGTGTGGATTCATCCGAACGAGAAAAAAAGATTAGATTACTGTCGGTTACGGGTGCATGATATAACTCTTCTGCACGTCTCTCCGTGGCATTGCAACTTGAATAGATGCTGCCGTAAATTTCCCTTGGGACAGTTAGTTGCATATGTTTTGGTGCAAGAGCAAACAAGTGCGCTTTCCGTCGCGCACATGCCCCTACATTCATGCCAACCAGCAGCCACAGAACTGACCGGATGTTAAGGGCATTAGGATAGGTAGGTTGTAGCGCAGCGGTCGCAGCAAAATGAGCAGGCGGGCAGGGAATTGTCGTGGTGGCCAACAATCACAGGCCGGTCTGCTCTCACGGTCTCAGACTCGCGACGAGAGCTCTGCATTCTGGCTCCAGACAAAAGCGTGATATTCTGCATCGCACCAAAATTGTTATCGATTTCAATTCTTTTTTGGCACACCGCCTCTTTCAGCTACATGTGCACCACCGACCCCACCCCGTCAGATACAAAGAGCAGCAGCACGTGCTGTTCACCATCACAAAATCACTTCACAAGCCCCGACCCCTCGGTGCAACAGCCCATCTGACATCATCTCAACCCCTCCAACCCAACCCCTGCGCCCTCGAACACCACGCCGACGACCCGCAAACAGCTGTGCCGTCCACCCTCTCTCCTGTGGAAGAGAGCGAAGAGCCTATGTCTGACGTGCCACTTAAACCGCGCCCGACCATCATGCCGCTGTCGCGGCGGAGGCGCAAATGGGTTTCACGCGACGTCTCCCACTTTCAACAAGTTGAGCAAGTTGGCGAGGGGACGTATGGGTAAGTTTTTGTCTTGGGCATGCCTCTTGCGGAAGGCACCCTTGCGGCGCACGGAAGAGACATCCACTCTGACGCATTGCTCATTTATTTATGCGCTTCCTATCTCGTTTTCGCAGGCAAGTGTGGAGCGCGAAGGATAAATTCACAAACGAGACCGTCGCACTGAAGCGGGTGCGCATGGACAATGAACGCGAAGGGGTAAGTAGCGTGCGTTCCACCGGACCGCTCCACGTCAAGAAGCGCCGACTGACTGACCCTCGTCTCAACTTGCACTCTCTCTTGTCGCCTAGTTCCCACTGACGGCCATCCGCGAGATCAAGCTCCTAAAAACGCTGCACCACGAAAACATCGTAAACCTGAAAGAAATCGTCACCGGCAAGGGCACGACGAGCACCGATGCCCGCCACGACCCCAAGAAACCAAAAGGCAGTATTTACATGGTATTCGAGTACATGGACCACGACCTCACAGGCCTCATGGATACGCCCACCGTGCGCTTCACGGAAGCCCAGGTCAAATGCTATATGTCGCAGCTCCTGAGCGGCCTGGAATACTGCCACCGCCACGAAGTACTGCACCGCGACATCAAGGGCTCCAATCTGCTTATCGATAACAACGGCAATCTAAAGATCGCCGACTTTGGCCTCGCCCGCTCCTACGGTGAAGCCGGCCGCCGCTACACAAACCACGTCATCACCCTCTGGTACCGTCCACCTGAGCTCCTCCTCGGTGCCAACATGTACGGCCCCAGCGTCGACATGTGGTCCGTCGGCTGCCTCCTCGCCGAGCTCCTGACCCGCAAGCCCCTCTTCCCTGGCAAGGCCGAGGCTGAGCAACTGGACCTCATCTTCCAAGTCATGGGCTCCCCCAACGAAAAAGTATGGCCCGGCTGGCGCGACCTCCCCCAGTCGCGCAACGTCTCCGAGACAATGGTATATCCTTCCAAGCTGGAGCGCGCTTTCAAGAGGCTGGCTGCGCACAGCTCCACATCTGTGTCCCCCACGGTGATCGACCTTCTCACCGACATGCTCCAGCTGGACCCCGCGCGACGCATCAGCGCGACAGACGCACTCAGTCATCGATGGTTCCAGGAGGAGCCTTACGCGTGCCGCAAGGACGAGTTGCCAAAGCATGCGCAGTCGACACACGAATTCCAGGCGAAGAGAAGACGCCAGGCGTCGCATATGGCACGACACAACATGACCTCCCGCGATCGCGAGCGCGCTCAGGAACGCAGCAGGTCGCGTGGCTCCAGTCGAGATTACTCGTTGCACAAGCCGTCCAGCAGTCGATGACGACTCGACACCGCCACGCAAGGAAAAGTAAATCAATCAGCATCAAGGCGTCAGGAATAAGTTGATGCAGGACGTCAACGCAAGCCACGCCTCCTTCAACTATCTTCCCCCTCATCCCCCTACCCCTCGCCATCATATTCGGCATCCTCATCGCTCTCAAATTGGACATATTCCGTGTGCTGCACCGCCCTCGGCACAATGCCAAACGGGCGGCTCTCCTCAAACCACTCCTCGCTCTCCCCCTCGCTGACGGTCTCCGGGGTGCTCGGATAATCAACGCTTTCGCCATCCAAGTCGTCCTCCTCGTCGCACTCCTCTTCGCTGTGCTCCTCGTGAAACACAAACTCGGTTAAATCCTCCGCACGCACGTAGGCCATCTCGCTATCGCTACTTGGATCATCGAATTCCTTCTGCTTTCCCTTTCCCTCTCCCTCTTCGTCTTCCCCAATCACGTCGCCTTCCCGGACATACACGTCCTCCTCATCCACGGTGACCCTCGCCATAGGGATTCCATTACAAAGCATGCCTTCCTCCATGCGGGCGCTCTTCCTCCCCCCTTCCCCCGCCTCCATCCTCCTCTTGACCCCCCTGCGCACGACGTCCGGCCCCACATCGACGATCGTGACGCCGGGCTGCTGCAGCGCCTCGCGGGCACGCTCCGCGGCGAGGCGGCGGAAGCGGATGTGCGGCGCAGAAAGCGAGAGCGCAGAGAACAGCGGGGCCAGAGATGGCGGACGCTTGTGTAACGGCAGCGACACGTGCAACGAGGAGAAGGGCGTGGCGCTGCGGGGACGCTTCAGACGCAGCACGGTCAACGCACGGGGGGGCGCTACTCCGCCAGTGGTTGGGGACATTTTTGCGGGGGTGTGGAGGGCGTGTTGCGGCAGCGGTGTTGAGAGTGGTTGAGGGTGGTGGAGTTGACAAGTTACCCGCCGACGGGGTATCCATCCGTTGGGGTTGAGAGCGAGGTGGAAACTCTATCTCGTTGACGTCCGCATCAGCTGGTACTGTGGCTCTCACTACTGTACGTCGTTGGGCATTACAGAAGACAGTCTCCCCTTGTCTGATGTCAGACGACAAGATCCATTCCCACAAATGTCCACCATCCTCAAACCGGATCACGGATCCGATCCGTCCGCAGTGCAACGTGTACCCGTGTTGATAATTTACACACGTGTCGTAGTGTACACTTGAACACGTGGAGATCACACGAGCTGCAGATTTCTCATCTCCGTTCTCATCCAGTCGTTCATCCATGCAGTACCCAAGGGTACCGTACCTCCCCCCCACAAGTAGGGTTTAGGGGGTTTCCCGCCTCCATCTTCTCTGCCACCGCTCCGTCACTACGTCTTCCTCCTCCCGTCCCAGAGCTCCGCCCTGCATCCTCGCCATCTCGTCCCACCATGGCATTCGTTCCTCCCACCACCGCCTCCACCTTCCTCTCTGGGGCCCCTCTCCCCTCTAAATGCTCTCCCCAGACCCGCCGCGCCCCGGCCCCCGCCCGCGTGCGCATGGCTTTTTCCTCGATCGACATGCCGGAATGCGCCGGCTCCCTTGCTGACGTCGCGGTCTCGACCAAGGCGCAAGTTATCCACATGTGCTACAAGCACGTCTTCGGCAACGCCTATCTGATGGAGTCGGAGCGCGACGGGCTTGCCGTCGCGGAGTCTGACTTCAAGCTGAACAACCTCTCCGTGCGCGAGCTAGTGCGCGCCATGGGCAAGTCCGAGGCCTACCGGAAGCGCTTCTTCGAGCGCTCTGGACCCTACCGTTTCGTTGAGCTGAACTGCAAGCACTTTCTCGGACGGGGCCCCGTGTCCCAGGAGGAGGTGTCCTTCCACGTGCAGAAGCTGATCAACGAGGGCTACGACGCCGAGATCGACTCGTACGTGGACTGCGCGGAGTACGAGCGAAAGTTCGGCATGGACTTTGTGCCGCGCTTCGTGTTCGAGGGCACTTACCAGCGGAACGACAACTTCAACAGGCTCGCCATCATGCGCAAGCACTGGGACGGCTGCTCCACCAGCACGGTGTCGGGCTCGACCGCGCCCGGAAAGCCGATTCCGGCGCAGCTTTGCATGGGGCACGGCGGCTACGTCAACGGCTTCATTGGCGTGATGAAGGGGCTGCCAGCCGGCTTCCGCCCCGAGCCTTCGCGGCCGCCCGTGCCGGGGCCGTTTCCGTCCAATGGGCAGGCGGGCCTCAAGATCAGGATCAAGGTCGCCGAGAATCTGTACCAGGTGTACGAGATGCCGTCCATCACAGCTAAAGTCGAACCCGCGTGGAAGAAAGAACGAGCGGGCGAAAAGAGATGGAACGGCGTCTGGTTTTGAAGGGGGCATGGAATTTAATAGTTTTTTATTTCTTTCTTGATGCTGGGTTTAGAAGGCGGGAAGGTTGGAAGAGCTATCGTACGAGCGTGCAAAAAGAAAAGTAAAATTACGTTGTCCGCAAAGTAAAGGCGTGTTTTTGGTTGCAGAATCCAAAACTGGTGCGTCGCAAAGTAAATTATAAAACTGGAAATCTATCAACCATGAGTTTTTCACAAGCCGTACGTAGCAGGCCTTCTCGATGTCATCATCAACCTGGAAGGTGGTTCAGGTTCAACCCATCCTCACGTGGCTTTTTGTACAGCCGCAACCAGTAAGGCCGGTGACTGAGTTTCTTTGTGCGCGTTAGAGGCAGACGAGGAGTCCATATTTGCCTTTGAAAGAGGTTGGCGGCGTGTGCGTGACGTTGTGTAAAGGGTGCGGTTGGAGGCCGAAGTGCTACAGAGGCTGTCAAAACTCACGTAAAACTTACTTGCAGGTCCTGTGAGTTTTGTATAAAAAAAAGGGCAAATACTTCTGCCAGAAAATTTGATCGAACTCCTAAAAACGCGTGTTTTCCCCACTTTGCGGACAACGTTAACGTTTGTGTTTTTTTGTGTTTTTTTGAAGGGTGGGAGGGGAGGATGGGGGGGGGGGGGGATCAGGGAGAGGGAGAGGGACAGAGTTGCTGGGCGGTTTTGACAAACTGCATGCAACTGGGGCGACGTACGGTACCCTAAGGGTACCCAGGGTACCGTACCCTTGGGTATGGTCTTTTGGAAACACAAAAAAGAGGGGGCTGGTCATGCGCGTCTACTGTTGCGCGTGGGCGAGCCCGTGGTCTGGACTAGGGCGCTGGCGTAGCTGACGCTCGAGTCGGACGTGGTGAGGCATTTGGAGCTTTGCTCATATCTGACAAAGCGGATGGAAAAGTTGTGGCCCGAGTGCTTAGAGCAGTAGGACAGGGCGGTAAGCAGCAAACCGATGGGATGCTTCCCGCAGATGGTGTTGTCCGTGCGGGTCTGGTAATTGCAAAACGCCGAATGGCTGCCGCTCTCAATCGCGTCCATACCGTCCCGATCCAGGCGCTGGATGCCCTGCCAGATGAACTCGCTGCGCCTATCCACAGTGGTGTACCTGAAGCGGGTACCCCAGTGACAAAAATCGCTCGAAATGACAAAGAACGACTCGCCATCGCCCAGCCAGGTTGAAAACAGGCGCCCAAAACTGCGCTCCTTCTCCTCACTCAGGCTGCCGACGACAACGGGCACGACCTTGACGTGCACGTCGCGGAAGACATGGCGCACGTACGGCAGGTGCATCTCGATCGAGTGCTCCGCCGCGTCCATATCGCTACTCATCCTCACAAACCTCGCGTCCGCATCCGAGTTATCCAGCAGCCCATCCGCGACCTGGCGATCCACAGGCAAGTCGCCC